GGGGGGGGGGGGGGAGGGGGAAGGAGAAGGATTGGGAGGGGGGGAGGGGGGAGGCTGGGAAGGGATGGGAAGGGTAAACAAAGGAGGAGGCTGCAATGCTTGGTAAGAAATGTACGCATTATCCTGCCCATGCAATTGTAACCCCTCTGTACAGTTTGTTCACAAATAAAATAAAATAAAATTAAAAAAAAAAAAAAAAGAAATTGCACAGTGCCTGGGAAGTGAGTGCTTAAAAATGTAATTTATTTCAGTGATCATCATCATTCACCATTACCACTCTGTATTTACTGCTATATTATATTATTTTCTGGAGAAAAATGAAAAGCAATGTGTTTTACATGATTAATGTGGCATATTAGACAAAGTTCAGGGGAAAAATAAAAATCAATGTGTTTTACACGATTAATGTGGCATATGAGGAAAAGCTCAACACTAAACTTTTACCAGTCATTCCTTTTACCACCCAAACTGCCTGAAGAGAGTCACTATCAGCTGAGGAAAGGAACAATCTATACAAAACACAAACGTGAGAGCAAACTTTTACAACAGATGAGGCCAAGCTTCCGTGGTAGATTTTTATATATAACAAAGACAGCAGAAGCGAACTTCTAAACTCAGAGCATAATGAGCTGCCATTGGACAATGGTAGAAAAAAACCAAGTAGATCATGTTTAGAAAGTCTTCCTTACAGCCAATAAACACAACATAAAGGTAAGTTTCAATTTAAGGTGTTGCTGTAGTCTGACTGCCTACCATTCCCTAAACACCTGTGTGTTGGCACAGGTGGCAATGCTGGTGCCGTTGGGAAGCTTGGAACCTTTAAGATATCGCATCCCAGTGGAAGATGGGTATGTGGAGCATGGTCTTCAAGGAGACTGTGAGCCCAGAATCCTTTCTCTTCTTCTCTATTGCTTCCTGACTACACAATGAAAGGTTCTGCCTTTTCATGCTCCCACCAGGATTGCTGAACCTAGCCACAGACCCCAAAGCAACCAACCAACCACTTAGGGATTGGAACCTCTACACTTGGTGAGCCCAAATCAATACTGCTCAGTATTTGTTATTGTGACAGAAATCTGATGGACTCAGACAGTAAGAAATAAGAGAGAGCCAGGTGCCGGTGGCTCAGGCCTGTAATCCAACTACTCAGGAGGCTGAGATCTGAGGATCATGGTTCAAAGCCAACCCAGGCAGGAAAGTCTGTGAGACTCTTATGTCCAATAAACCACTAAAAAACCAGAAGTGACACTTTAGCTCAAGTGGTAGAGTGCTGGCCTTGAGCTGAAGAGCTGAGGGACAGCGCCCAAGCCCAGCATTCAAGCCCCATAACCGACAGAAAAAAAAAGAAATAAAAAGAAATGAGAGATACCTGCCGTATGTACTATTACAATTCAGACTGATATTCTATTATTCTTTAGAAACAATTTACCATAGTATACTTCAAGATATTAAGAAAAGAAGATGGGAAGAATGTAGTAAAAAAAAATCCAATGTATAGCTTACAAAATTAAGAATGAGGGAAGGGGTTTGTAGGGGAGGGCTGGGTGAGAATGTAGAAAGGGAAGACATTGATAAAGATGCACTGTATTCATAGACTGCTTTGCTAAATGGCAACTCCTTCATACAACCACTTAAAGATAATATAAAGAAAGCAAAGAATTACTTAGCATGCATGATTACTTAGAAATACATGAGGAAGCATCAAAGTCTATTTAAACGAAATCTATAAAACTGTAATGGGAAAAAATTTGTCCTTGTTCTTTCCAGTTTTCTTGATATATACATTATATAAATGTATTTATAAATATCGTGTCTACTTATATATAAAATACACACTCTCTCTCTCTCTCTCTCTATATATATATATATAATATGTACTTTAACATTGAAAGTTTGGGAACATCTACTCTTTCTACTTGATTAGTACATTCTAATTTACCCCCAAGAAATGACCTTTCTCTTTTATTCATTTGTGCAGCCATGCAAAAAAAGTGTATATTAAAAGCATTTTCATTTATTATTGAGTAGCTCATTAGTTTGGCTGGGAATTAGCTTTTGTTTTCATAACTGTTCTTCATAGGAAATGCTGGCTTTTGAATCTCTACTTTTCAAGTTGGATGTTCCATTTTTTTTTAATGAGGAAATTGCATATAAAAGTTGTACAACAGAGCAAATAGTAAAAGTCTTGGTTAAGAAAGTTTTATAAAAACAGGAAAAACTGTTCTAATAAATGTGTTTTAAGACACTTAACAGCAAAACTATATATATTTAGGAAAAATGTAATATTTTACTAAGAATACAGAGCATAGTTTAGGATGTTTCTGACCTAAACGTCATCAATAAAACTAATAATCACTATATCATCCATATATTTTTTTCCTCAAATGCTGGTTAGGTTTAGTCAATGAGATGTCACATGAACAACCAATCAGCCTCAAAAAAACTTGTACATTAAGCAAGACAACAACCCAATCGGGGTCTGCCACAATGATATGCATTATAAACTAGAGCTATTCTGACTCAGATTACCTAATTCCCAGCTATTCACATATATATTTGCATATAAATATATATATAATTGATGTAGAATTAATGGAAATCCTTTTAGAGTTGGCATTAAAAACAGGCTTTTAAAACTCCCAAATTAAATAGAAAACCATCACTGAAAGATAATTGAGCAAGAGATTTAACATTTCCATGTAGTAAAACCAAAAATCATCACTAGATCTAGTCTACTCATTTAAAAATACCAGCTTATACAGGTCACCAGGTCAATTCAGTCAACTAATTAGTTCCAGCTAATCTGCATGGACTTCTAGAATTTGTACAGTCCACAGGTGCATATTCTACTGCTTCTGCATAAAAGCCTCGCCGGGCTGAAATCAAGTTTGGCAGGGCTGGGTTCCCCCTCGGATGGGCTACAGGAACCCCATCTCCTGGCCTTTTATACCTCTCACTTTTATACCTCTGCTTTCTCAGCATTGTGATTCTTTCCCTCCATCTTCAAAAACAGTGTTGTAGCATCTTTAAATCCCTCACAGAATCTGTTCCTTTCTCCTGCCCCCCACTCTTGCCCCCTGTAGTTACACTGGATCTCTCAGAATAATCTTCATACTTTAAGGTTCAGTGGTTTGCAAATTTGATTTTCCCTTGTTATGCAAACTAATATATTCACAGGTTCTAAGGATTAGATGTAGGCATCACTGGGGAGAGAGATATTATCCTACATTAGACATATATCTAAAGTAGTATTCAGTTTAAGTTAATATTTGCACAAGCAAATTAAATTTCTCTAATACTATCATTATTATTGTTGTTATTACTTGGAGTAAAACTGTAAAAAACATTTAAAGGTGTTAGATTTGAATAAGATACCAATTTCCCCAGCCTCTGACTCCTTTCCATTTGTGCTTTCACAAACTGGATACCAATCAACTAGTCTGATAATTCGCTCTCAAATTCATCTCAACCCAATATACTGAATATTGTACATAATAAAATATAAAACTGTAATATATGAAAGACATCCTGCTTATTATATTCGGTAAATATTTTGGCAACCGTTTTTTAACCTGCAGATAATTTTAGAGTTTAAGAACAGATTCATAAGAAAATACTAGCTAGATATGTTGGCTCAAGCCTATAACCATAGTATTTGGGAGGTGAAGGTCAAAGGATCATCGTTCAAAGCCAACCAGGGCATTGAAGTTCATGAGATTCCATCTCAACCAATGACCATCTATGTGGAAGCACAATGATTGAGCCTAGTGTTAAATGCCTGTTACCCAATGACAAAAGAAAGCATAAAAAGAGTAACATTCCAGGCTGGGTCAAGCATAGAGAAAAATCATAATTCAGAAACAACTAGCTCAAGTTGTAGAGCACCTGCATGAAGCCCAAGTTCAATCACCAGTACTAGAAAAGAAAGAGAATGAGTGAGAGATGGAGGGAAAGAAATACTTAGGGAGGGAAGCATAGAGATATTAACTCAATTTGCCTACAGTGACACAGCTTATCTAAGATAAAGCTGTTTCCTGACAATAGGTGTACACTCTCATAATTATGACATCTCTCCTTATACATGAAACATGGTCAACCATGACTCTTATTAAGTGGTAAATCAATAGATGGACTAAGTTACACTTCAAGAACTTGGAGAAGTAGTATTGTATCATTCTGTCCTATGACAATACAAAGATTAAGCCAAGAATAAAACACTAATAAGATGCCATGTAAAATGACACATAACTTATAAAGTGTTACATATGAAGAAGAAAAACTATGCAGAAGGGAGAAGCTAAGTAGACCACAAAACTGATAATGACTGTGAATTAATTATGTAGATACAATCTCCCCAAAACAAAGAAAAATTCATCAATGTCAATTATCATTCCAACTACATACATCATTTTTCCTTCATATAAGAGGAATGAATTCCCCTTTTTTTTTGGGGGGGGGGGAGGTCCGGTTGTGGGGCCTGAACACTGGGCCTGGGCGCTGTCCCTCAGCTTTTCAGCTCAAGGCTAGCGCTCTACCACTTGAGCCACAGCACCACTTCCGGCTTTTTTCTTTTTAGTTATGTGGTGCTGAGGAATCGAACCCAGGGCCTCAGGCATGCAAGGCAAGCGCTCTACCACTGAGCCACCTTCCCAGCCCGGCCACTTTTTTTTTTGTCAGTTATGAATGATGCTTGAACTCAGGACCTGGGCACTGTCCTTGAGCCTCTTTGTACTCAAGGCTAGTGCTCTACCAGTTGAGTTACAGCTCCACTTTTGGTTTCTGAGTGGTTAATTGGAGATAAGAGTTTCACGGGGACTTTTCTGCCTCAGGAGGCTTCGAACTGTGATCCTCAGATCTCAGCTTCCTGAGTAGCTGGGATTACAGGTGTGAGCCACTGGTCCCAGGCTGAATTCCACTTTTAAAAGCTATGAGGGGCTTATAAGTTATGAATAGAAGTTCTTTTTGTTAGTATCAGAAGAGAGAATTAAAAATCAACTTACTTGATGTAATAGGGCACTTTGTTCTGTGAAATGGATCTTTGCCATGGCAGCTGCACTGAGGCTGAGGAGACAGAAGCAGATGATTAGAAATGCTGGTAACCCAGAAGCCTTCCACCTTCACGTAAAACAACTGAGCACCTTTACAGCAAATCCAGCCAGGCCACTCGGGCATTGGGTGTAGACTCCTCTTGATGATGACATCTTCCAGGGCCAACTAGAATGGCTTTAAAGATTCATTTGAAGTAAGGAAAGAAACAACCCAGATTCTATTTCTAATGCCAAAGGCTAACTGAACCTATTGATAGAAATACTTTATAAAGAACAGGGTTTTGTTTTGGTTTGGTTTTGATTTATCATCAACACAACAGGAGACTTAGTGCCATCTGGAAACGGAACCCTACAGATTCTAAAAAATCCAGATTAAAAACTTCATTTCTCAAGACTGAATTTGCAGATCACTAGTAATATTTTTATAGTATGTCATATTCACAGGAGTAGCTACTGAACAAAGAGAGTACTAATTAAATTAAATTTCATGAAAACAGAAAAAAATAAAATGGCACGAGGTAAGAGATTGTACAGAATAGGGCCCATCAGCTATGCAGAAGTATCTTTTGAAATCCACCGAGAATAGAGTCTTACTTTGGCAGTAGAAATTACCATGGTTGAGATTTTATATTTTTTATTGAGGTATTTAATTTTCACAATACCAATTACTTATTAATAAAAAGCATACCATTCCTACAGTAAATCGCTTATTTTAAGACTTATTTAAGAGTACCACATGTGACTAGAGGAATTCTGCTAACTGACCTAAATAAAAAGATGTAAAATATTATTATTAGACCAAATACTACTAGACCTTTCCATAGTCAGCTGTCATCAATAATTCTTTTTTCTGAATTTCATGTTATTTTGATATCGTACAAATGTGTGGCTTTGTAAACTTTGTTAACCAATGCCAAATATATCTTTGGCTTTAAAAGCTGACAACATAACACACATTCAAGTTCCATTTGATAGAGAAGGAATTAAATGCATAGAACTAAAATAAGATTGTAAAAAGTGATTGTTAGTAAATAAATACAGAGCTCAGATAGGACTAATGGCTGAATCTTCAGAATAGTAGTTCAGTCAGTTTTCTACTCCAAAGTGGTGGCTCACTTCTATAATCCTAGCTACTTAGGAGGCTGAGATCTGAGGATTGTGGTTCAAAGTCTACCCAAGTAGCAGAAAAGTTCATGAGACTCTTTATCTCCAATTAATTACCATAAAAAAGCTGGAAATGACTCTGTGGCTCAAAGTGGTAGATTATGAGCAAAAATACTCATGGACAGTGTCCAGCCATGAATTCAAGCACCCCCACCACCACAAAATAAGCAAAAGGAAGAGGGACATGATTCAAGTGGGAGAGATTATCTAGCAACTTTGAGACTTTAAGTTCAATCCTTTCCCAAATGAGGTACGAAGTAAATTATATTTCTCATTAGAGACAACCTCATTTCATTGTTGGCTCTAGGCTAATGGGTCAATTCTTCTTTTGTGCCTAACTAAACAGACTTCTTTTATAACCATGGCGAGAGTCCAAGAAATAAAATAAAGCCAAAATTTCTAAGCAGCAAAGAACAACAATTATTACATTTACTAATTGGGATTTCATTTATAATTCCCCATTCATGTTAATCATTATTTTGATCTAAATAACCTCAACTTTCTTGGACCATATAAAAGACCATGTGCTTGAGTTTCACCAAATGTTCATTAATTTTACAATACTCCATTTCTTGAAGAATAAGAACTGATTTCTATAATGTGAGAGTGGCTGTTAGGGGAAAATGCAGCATTTCACCCATATTAATAGATAAGTGAACATTAGAACTGTAAAGAGAGTCTCAATTATTTTGAAAGTTCTTTAATTTGGTCTTACTGTCTAGTTTCACATTCTATAAAATTAAGTGTAAGAAATGGGAGGACTCAACGTGTAATGAGAACACTAAAGTCCTATTTATTTCAACAATAATGGTATCAACACGAAAACATACTCCCCGGGGTAACCAGTGGGAGCACATGTGTGTAATCCCAGCTGCTTGGAAGGCAATCAGGAAGATACCAGTTCAAGGCCAGCTCAGGTAAAAATAGTTTGTGAGAACTCCATCTTATTCTATAAGCTGAACTTGGTCGTTCCAAGTCTATAATTCCACTCATGTTGGAGGCCTAAGTAGGAGGATCACAGTCGAAGACCAGCCATGGACAAAAGTATGAGACCCTCTTCAAAAGACAATTAAAGTAAGAAGATTTAGTAGCATGGCTCAAGTGGCAAAGCTCCTTTCTAGCAAGCTCATGGTCCTGCATTCAAACCCTCGTACTTAGAAATGAAAAAAATGAAAGAACAAAAATTTTGCTCAGTAAATGGTATTCCAGAAAGGATTCTTCATCGTTCAAAGATGGATTGCCTAAGGGTTCAAGTTTGAAAAACTAACGATGGGTGTATGTTAGAGTGTAGCGTGGAGCAGCGTGAAGGATGATTGATTAAAATTCTCTTATTAGAATTCTTGAAAATGTGAGGGGGGGGAACCTTGATCTTTCATTCAGGTAAAGCGGTTCATCAACAGTGACAAAAAGATTAAGAGAAAACCAAGAATGTAATCAAGAACTTAACTGTAAGATAAAATACTACGCTTTCCCTATGATTACAGATACAAAGAAGTACACTTTGTCCTAGGTTTTAAACTTTACTCAAATTGAATTAGATTAAGCAAATTGCTGTCTTACATATATTTGCCAAAGGAAATGAAAGAAAAAGAAATAATATTTGCTGGAAGTATGTGTGCCAGGATCCAGGCTGGGTGCTTTGTGTAACTTGACAAATTTTTCCACCAAGTTCCCAAGGCCATCTGAGGAAATAGGTATTAAGGTATGTTTAAGACCAAGAAATTAACTTTCAGAAATTCACAGGCCTGGTAAAAGGCAGAATGAATATTTAAACTCAATCTGAAAGACTCTTAAATCCTACTTTCTTTAGTATCCTCAGCAGTGAATAATAAATAAAATAGGACCTTAAATTATTCAAGAGGTCATACAGTGTACACAAAATTAAAAAGTTCCAACTGGAGAATAGTGCATTAAAAAAAAAAAACCTACGTTTGTGCAAACCTCAATCCGCAATGCTAGACTAGAAGGAAAAGCAAATATGATGGTGATTATATTCGTACACACAAATTTCCTCATGGAAAGATTTGTGGAAAGCTCTCTATTCTTTTTCTAGCCTTAAAAGCTGCAGGTACATCTTTAACACAAAAGCACATTCTTCGAAGAAAAATTAAACTATTAAAATATAAATGCCTTTAAATATATATATTAAAATATAAAGTGCCTACGGAAAAGATCAAAACCTTTATACAACCAAACTAGGGTGGAATGTCATATTAGCTATCAAAACAAGCTGGCGATTGAAAAACTGTAATTAACAAATAATAACCAATACTATTATTATTGTTAATGCGTCCTATCTACTATAGGTGAATATATTAAGAAAGGTGAAGACAATGTCCCCTTGGGTAAAAGTGAAAGGCTATGTTATCAGTCAATAAGTTCCGTTGTTTACCCTACTCACTGGAGAGAAAATGCTGAGAAGCTGGTCCGAAATCTTGATAGGCCTCCTGAAGCTGCTTAAGACGATCATCCACGGAAACCTGCACACACAGCCAATGACTTGATTTCAACACAATGACTTTAATAATACCCTTGATTCCAAGTCTGACAACAAATGAGGGTATGGCCCTAAGATACTGCTGCTTGTTTAGACTTCTCTCCCCTGGTATCCATGTCATATGTTGGTTTTCAACTTATAGCACCAAGTAATGTACGGAGAGACAGACATTCTTCCAAACAGCTTATAAAAATAAACTCTTAATTGTCACTGTAGCCATGCTGGCTAAATATCATTCCTGTTGCTATTTTATCAATAAAGAAATGGAGATGTAAGAAGGTAGCCAAGGACATAGAACTAGTGAGTGACAGCACTATCTCTTTCAAATGTAACTTACTCCCTGACTTTTAGTCTTTGGAGATGGTGATAACAAAAAGAGAAGGCAAGTGAGTAAGGATGGCGTCCTTACATGAAGATGATGGAAAGACAACAAATTAGAAAAATGAAATGCTAAAAAAAAAAAAGGTCAAACATTTCTGTGAGCACATATACATTTAAGAGATTTGCTTGGGCTGGGAAGGTGGCTCAGTGGTAGAGCGCTTGCCTTGCATGCATGAGGCCCTGGGTTCGATTCCTCAGCACCACATAAGCAAAAAGAAAAAAGCCGGAAGTGGCACTGTGACTCAAGTGATAGAGCGCTAGCCTTGAGCTGAAGAGCTGAGGGACAGCGCCAAGGCCTAGAGTTCAGACCTACAACCAGACCCCCCCCCAAAAAAAATAAGTGATTTGCTTAACTCATCCTAGATCATGAACACTTCTTTTCCAGGATAAGGAAGACTGCCAAATACCATACCACACACTCATGTTACCTTTTCAATCTACTATAGAAGTAAGAACCAAAAATATTAATTTTTTCTATCTTCTACTAAAATCCCCTTACTAATTCTCAGAGGAAAAGTATGCTTACTATGAGTCCTTGGATGTAGCTATTGAATATGGCAGAGCTCTACAACTATGAATGCTTTTTGATGTTGATAGTGGTTAGCTTTTTTGAGAGAGGTCTCACTACACACACTATCCTGACTTCTTCAAACTTGTGATCTTATGATCTTCAAAGTTGTGATCCAACTGGCTTACACTCCTGAGTACTGGGATGTTAGTCACACATCCTGCTCTCAGCCATAAACTCTTGATTGGCATTGGTAGTGGCTTTCAAATTGTCATACCTAAGAATCTCAAGAGAACTGCCCGTGGGGTGGTTCTATTCAATCTGGAATAACTGAATAAGGTCTAGAGCTATGAAGACAACTGACTTAGAGCCATTCAGATCTAGGAGCTAAAGTGTAAATTTGCTATCTGGAAAAACCCAAACAGGACACCTAAACATGAATATAGCAACCAATAATCAGAAGAAAACAAGACAGAAGTTTTCTTATGCTTCAGCAAGGAAAAATACACAATAAAGAAAAATGCCAGCTTTATGAGCCACTATTGGAAAATGTTTCAGTGACCTGCTACTGTGACTTATTTTAGTTTGTGAAATTTCCATACAAAATTACACTGGAGCTGATATTCATAAATATATGAGCCCCTGACGTCCTTGTTTGCAAAGGTCTTTACCAAATATGACTGGTTAAACAGACAGAAATGAATGTCTCTGGAGGTGGGCTTCCCAGAGCTCTGGAGGGACAAGCCTGTTAGGAAGGAGCTAAGCTAATACCTGTAGAAGTTTCCATCGAATATTAAGGTCATCCAGCTGACGAGACATCTTTAGAGAGGGATGCAGGTCAAGGGGAGACAGCTGGCTAGACAAATCATTCATTGTTTTCACTTTTAAGTTGATTGGTGCGATTTCTTCTCTAAATGCCTGGAAGAAACAGACCCCCCCCAAAAAAAAGTGTCACTAGAAAAAAATACAATAAAATAGAAGCTAGTATGTCTACCTTTTTGCCAATGTCAATGCAAGGCCAGCTCAAGGGCCAGAAGGTAGAGCTGCCCATTCAACAAAAGCCGGCTTCTCCAGAGCCCTCCTGAATGACCAGCTAGTCACCCTCAAAACCCAGAGGTTTGAATTATACTCGCAAAGAGAAAAATAACAATGAAATGCCATTTACATGATTGTGTGCCTCCTTCATGTCCTGAATCAGATGAAAATTCTAGAAAATGTAGCTGTTATCGATCACCAGCCATCATCATCTTGACTACCACCCTCAGTACCTTATGTACTAATGCAGTAGTTAAGGATTTCAGGCTCCAACTCTCGAGTCGAAAGTGTGCACACATGAGCTACATGAAGTGCACAGGAGATAATGCAGAGAAAGAAAGAAAAGAGAAGAGAAGAGAGGAAGAGAGAGAAAGAGAGAGAGAAAGAGAAAGAGAGAAAGAGAAAGGCAGAGGAAGGAAGGAAGGAAGGAAGGAAGGAAGGAAGGAAGGAAGGAAGGAAGGAAGGAAGGAAGGAAGCAGCTGTGGTGCTAACCACTTTCATTTTAAAAGAGGACACATTTGATTTGATTTGATTTGATTTTTCCAATTAGATTGTTGTAACTTCAGGAGAGGATTTAAAAAAAAATCTTAAGGAACAATAAAGGAGTTTAAACATTTCCTCTGGGGTTAAAAATATATAGTATTTCCCTATTATAAGCCACAGGTGAGAACATGAAAGAAAAAGACCTTTGACAAACAAGGTCTTTGGGGCTTGGTTTTTTTCATTTTTATGGTCAGGTGTTTTATGGCAACAGAGTTGGATTTTATCAAGAAAGTTAATCTTTTGATTTTTGAAGAGCTTCCAAATCGAAGGGGATTGGAAGAGAGCGAGTTCTAAGTGGTTTCAGAGGCTATGTGTTGTGGAAGAAAGAACCAATTTATCATGTTTTGATAAGAGAGCAAGAGCCTATGTGGCCCTCCTTGCTATAAAAACAGAAACATCTGCTGGCATCAAAGGTGCCAGGCAGACTGTTGGCAGGTGTAAATCTCAAGTGTCTCCAGCCAGAAGGTGTATGTTCTGAAAGTAAGAACAATTAAAGATAATTTTAAGAGTTGAAATTATTTGATTACCCCCAAAGATTTTGTTTTCAGTTACTCTGACACATTTAATAATATTTAGCAATAATCAGTACTTAGTTTTACCTGCCTAAGTCATCAACAGGATTTGGAACCTGCTTTGATATATCTCTGGGATATATAAAAATATCCCAGACTTTGAGCTCAATGTGATTTGTCTTTTTATTTTCTTTCCCCTAATAGGACCTTATAATGTTCTAATCCATAATTTATTCCTTTCAATTAAAATATTAATTGTTATTTATTTCTAGCTTTCCACTTCAGCAGAGATTTGAAAAAGGATTTGCAATTTCTTTAATTAAATAAGATTAACAACTCCCCAACTTCTGTGCCTCTAATAATTCCAAGGTAGTTTTTCAGTTTTTTTCCTGAATACTCATTATCATGAATTATAAACTGATGGGTAAATTCCTGCTTCAACCAAGATGCATGTTGGCTGTCCAGTAGGACACACTATATTTTGTATGTCACTGTGTACATCAGTGTTTAAAACCCTCCATTAAGGGCTAGGAATGCGGCTTAGTCGTAGAGTGCTTGCCTAGCACGCATGAAACAATGGGTTTATTCCTCAGTACCATATAAACAGAAAAGACTGTCTGTGGCTCAAGTGGTAGAGTGCTAGCCTTGAGCAAAAGAAGCTCAGGGACAGTGCCCAGGCCCTGAGTTCAAGGCCTAGGACTGACTGGCCACAAAAAAAAAAAAAATTAAAAAAATATATAAAGATAGAACCACTCTACAAATTCCAAAGAAGCTACACTAACAGCTGTTTCCAGACTCTTGTTTTAAATTCATATCCACTCCAATTTTTTTTTTTTAGTATATTAGAATGGTAAAAAGAGGCCTATGTAATTCAAAGGCAGCTGGGAAGCTATAGATACACTGAAAAATAGCAAACACCAATACTCTTAGCAAAAAATAATAATAATAATAGGGCTGGGAAGGTGGCACAGTGGTAGAGCTGCCTTGCATGCCAGAGGCCCTGGGTTCGATTCCTCAGCACCACATAAGCAAAAAGAAAAAAGCCGGAGGTGGCGTGTGGCTCAAGTGGTAGAGCGCTAGCCTTGAGCTGAAGAGCTGAGGGACAGCGCCCAGGCCCAGAGTTCAGGCCCCACAACCGGACCCCCCCCCAAATAATAATAAATGTAAATGTATTTAACATTTAGAGCTTTAATTCAAAGAGTTGGTCAAAGATGTGTTTCATTTCATTCATATGAAAGAATTCTCTGCAAAGAATAGATAAAATCACAAATATTCTACCATTTACATCTAGCTGTGTGGGCTTGAGCAATTATATTCATGGTTTAACACTTTGCGATACAGGCCTATCTTGTTGGGTTGGTGTGAGAATAAAGAGTGACCCACGCAAACTGGCTAAGAGCGGTTCTTAGCACACAGCCTCTGTGCTAGCTCCTATTACTTCTCTGACTTCTCACTCATATATTTACTTATGGAATTTACCCAAGTATTCAGTGAATTTCTCAGATCTCCTTTCCCTCTCCTATTTAGTCCTGTGCACACAAAAGGAAGGCTCTTATCCAAGGTCTGTGAACAAAAGATATATACCTTTTGCACTAAAAATTCCATGCATGAGAGACAGTCAGACTAAGTCCTTTGAATTTTTTCTTGGCTTTTCCTCAGCTATGATTCATGACTACCAAATATACAATTTCATATACTACCCTACTCTCTGAAACTAAAAGTGGGTTATACGTGTGTGTGTGTGTGTGTGTATCAGATACACCTAATCTACATTGTTTAGGACACATAGTTGGATTTTTTTTAAGTATTTTTAAAAAGTAGATTATCTTAAAATGCTCCCTTTTTAGGGGAACAAATTGGTGACAGTGAGTGACACCTGGAAAACATCTATTATGTCTACTGACCTGGAGTCATGACAAGGATTAACAGTGTTGGCTTTATAACAATCCCTGATGGCCATTTACATGTGTGGCTCTTTACGGTGTTCTATTTAGCAGTAAAACATTCTTAAAAAAAAAAAAAAGCCATTGTAGCTAGGCACTGGTGGCTCATGCCTGTATTCTTAACTACTCAGGAGACTGAGATCTGAGGAGCATGGTTCAAAGCCATCCTGGACAGGAAATTCTGTGAGACTTTCATTTCCAGTGAACCACCAAAACACCAGACGTAGAGCTGTAACAGCTCAAGTAGCAGAGTGCTAGCCTTGAGCACAAAAGCTCAGTGATTACACCCAGGCCCTGAGTTCAAGCCCAGGACTGGCACACACGCACATACAATAGAAACTGTCAAAGGCAAGAGGGCTGACCATGGTCTTTTCAATGTGATCCTGCAGCGAGTCAATGAGCAAATCTCCCACAGGCTTCCAGCCATTGCGCACCGCCTCTGCCTCCTTCATGTCTGCGTCCAGGTCGTCCATCGCTCCCTGCAGGTCTCTGAGCTTCTCCAATGCCTTGTCCACTTGCTTTTGCCAGTTACTGATGACAGCATTTAGACTTTCCCATTTCTCTTTCACTTCAGAAGATTGTTTGCGCATGGCTTTGGCAATCCTTTGGGCTCTCTCCTCTGGAGTCAATTCTGTTTAAAAAAAAAATTAAAAACCAACAGTCAGAATGAATCAATTGAGCATTCTGTATAACCATCAGCATTCAAAGAACGTCTGTCAGGATGAGATGTAGTGGTCAAGGTAAGAGGGAATTTCTCCACACTTCCACCACGAACTCGTCGCTACCTCTAAACATATTCTTCAAAGAAGAAAAGAGATTAATAAGTGATTGAGAGTGTTCGTGACTTCCAAATTTTAATATCTTTGTAAACTTTAATATAGAACAAGAAAACTCAAGAGATAAAACAAGTGTTTTCTTTACCATAAATTTAGTTATGCCAACTCCAATGACAGTTTTTTACTCTTTTTTTCTCTTTTCAAGAGAAATGGGAAATATAATTAGCCAAGAATAACTGAAAATGATAAAGAAAAACTCTTAGAAAATAAGATTAAATTACGGTGTTTCTAAAAGGAATTAACTGAAGAGAAATCATATATCTTAGATACTTCATCATGCGCAAGTGTCTCTGGCGGTTCATGTTTAATAAAGAACATATTTTGCAGCTCACATGTAACAGAATATCACGCATCTCAACAAGAAGACAAGATTACAGTGAACATCTCTAAATGTGCAACACTACAAGAGGGCTTCAAGGGTAACAGAAACACACGCTGTACCTGTATTATTGGTATTTCAGATGTGCTCTACCACATCCAGTTTCCTGTTATGAAGGGATCCTGATAACTTTTTGCCTGGGCTGCCTTAGAACTGCCATCCTCCCAATCTCTGCCTACTTTTGAGTAGCTGTGCTTACATTACTATGCCTGGCCTTGCTTTAACTATTATTTAGAGGTCAAGTTAAATATATCTGTCTCTCTAAATTTCTAGAGAATTCTAGATAACACCATTTACACTTGAAATGCAGCAATAAACTCTGCAACCGGTGGACAAACTTTAGCCAAAGTGTCTTGTTGACACATCTGCAGTGCACCTACAGAGATAGGAGTGACCTCCTAGCATCCATTGAGGAAAAGAGAAAGCATCCATTGGTGGGTTGGCTGACTACTCTTGTATAAGTAAGAAAATAAGAAACCAGCCTCAAGTGATAGTCAGGAATGGCTGGAGATACAATGGTTGGTAGAGTGCTTGCCTTCGCCCCTGCCCAGCCTTGTGCAAGGCTCTGGGTTTAATCCCAAGTACTACAAAACTATTAACAACCAGGAGACAAAGTCAAGGTGCTAGGAGAAGAGTCCTAAACCACATGCTACATGCCGGGACCCTGAGGTCCCCAAGAAAAAGAACTTTCTGGAAAAAAAGAAAGAATTGCCATTAAAGAAGGGAAACCTCATATAAGACCCTACACCCTCTGGATAGCTATAAAATGCTAAAAAATAATATTGACATTACACACTATATATTTCATAGACATATATAATGTTATATATGAAATGAAAGAAAAAAATTCATTCCTGGCAGTCTCAGGAGAGAAGAGGTGGGTGACTTTTATGATGCTAACACCTGTGTTGGTTAATAAGTCACTTGGGCTTTTAAAAAAATGTTTTTTAAACATGTGTGCTTTACCTTTATAAAAAAAAAAGAATAAGAAAAACCACCAATTTCAGAATAGACAGCTTAATTATGATGATTTTCCTTACATAAAGAAAAAGCTGTTTCTGACTCAGTCATTAAATAACCCGGCATGGAGAGATATGTGGCTTCTTTTATGATAAAACACACCACGGTGGTTAGGAGCCTTTTGTCTTCAGGTAACGTCAGATCTTTTGATAGAGCACTCCTTTTGTAGTATATTTATTATGCCATCCCCACCCAAGCAGCTTCTCCAAAGAAAAGAAAAGCTCCATGTTCAATTCACCATCTGTTTTCCAGAAAGGAAATACATCAACTGATGACTGAAAAGTCAGAATAAAAGTACATCTTAATGCTTGCAAAATCTAGCTGAATGCACACTTTGAGCCAAGAGCAGAGTAATGTTCAAGGTGAAAACCAAAAACTTCCCAGAACCTTTGTGCAAAATGTAAGAAGAAGCAACATGACACGAAATGGCAGGTCAGAACGATCTGGGGTAAAAAAAAAAAAAAAAAAAAAAAAAAAAAAACTCAAAAACCCCCCCCCCCCCCCCCCCGCCCCAGTCCCCAAATGAAGAACAGAAACACAACTGCATTCTTCAAAAAAAGAAAATCTTCACATCTGAAAATGGACAAATGTTCCTCCAAAAATCTCTAAATGTTCTGTGGTAAATCCTAAAGCTCAGACAAGAGTTGAGAATTCTTACTTTCTGATATCTGTTGTGCTATTTCTCTTCTATCAGCACAAATGAATTTATAAAAGAGTTTCAGTGTGACAGTTCTACAATACAGATAATGTTCTGGGATCGAATTCACTCCTATATTAACTCTCTTTTTTTCTTTAAACTTCTCTTCCTAAACTCCTTTCTTTTAAGCATTTTTAGTGTGTTTGATCATGCTATTTTCAATGAAGTTTCCTTTCTCACATTCCCTTTATCATTTTATCCAGGTATCTCTGGCCCTTTTCACATAAGTAAAACAGGTTGATTAGCTTAATAGAATTCAAGGAGCAAAACTTGGCTTTTATCTCTGATCACCCCACCTCTTGGGCACTAGTTTCCTCCCTCCCCCTGTCTCTCCCTCCCCCCTCCCTTCTCTATAATCAAAAGATGTTTCTGATTAAAATACTGGGAATCCACTCTTCCCATATGCCCTGATTATACAATTAAGATCAACCTAATCTCCCTGAAATATTTCATCAGCAGTTAAGAGGACCCTGCCCACTTCCTCCTCCTCGGCAGGATGACTAGTGGCAAGAGCTCGTGATGAACCAGACCACAAGTGCATCCTCAAGTGCCATCAGCTGAGTACCATCCCTAATTATGTTCCTCTAATAAGTCATAAGGATAATAAAAAGAGCCCACTCAGAGTAGGTCAATATGAATATTCTGCCCGAATCTGTCAATAAGGATATGATAAAGAGGATATGGACCATCCATGAAGATAAGAGACATCTCAAGTCTGGGGAAAGAGAAGAGTAGAAAGAAGGGGAGGTGTGGTGATGAGGCGGGGAGGGAGGGGGTGAGGAGAGGAATACATGATATAGGGAAAGTTAAGAACTTCTAAGATAAGAGAATTAAAGAATCCTTTCTGCAAACATCTAAATGCAAACTAGTAAGAGTAAAAAGAGGAAATACGAACACAGATGACACTGCGGAGCGGGCGAAGTGGTATTTTGGACCAGAAAGTCAGTGAAGGTAAAACTGGAATCTAACCATGTTTTGGATTTCTTCTTCCTAAGGCCAGTGTTGGGTCGAGGGAGTCTCAGGAGCAGATCATTAAGAAGATTCCCTTCCAGGGCAGGATCAGAAACAGGAAGAGCTCCTGGAACAAATAACCAAAGCCACCAAAGCTCTAACCTCTGACTTTCTGTAACTGAATAGCTCCGGATTTCCTCACAATAATGGCAGCAATGTGGTTTACCCAAGTTAGCTAAGGTGGTAGACTTTAGCAAGCAGGTCATGGGGGTCCCCAAGGTGGCCCTGAGAAGGGGTGAAGCCATGAACGTGAAATTTCCAGAGGACTAAGGGTACCTGTTCCATTCTCTGCTGTATTCCAGGACCTAGGAAGTATTTATTTGGTAAATACACACTTCTTCCCTCATACTCCTTAGTTTTGTAAGGGTGGGGTGGGGTCTAGGGGGAAGGGTAAGAAAGCGAGGAAGCAAGAATCCTCACTTCCCAAAGCCATCTACAAATTCAATGGGATACCTATCAATATTCCAACCTCATTCTTAAGAAAATAGAAGAGGCAATCCAAAAATTCATACGGAACAATAAAAGACCCCGAATAGCTAAAACGATCCTCAACAGAAAGAACACTGCTGGAGGAATATCAATACCAAATTTCAAACTCTACTACAAAGTCATAATAATCAAAACAGCTTGGTACTGGCACAAGAACAGACCTCAGGACCAATGGAATAGAATTGAAAACCCAGAAA